GTTTTATTTTAAACAGACCATAAGTGAATGATTTAGACATGAAAAAGAAGGATTTAAAAGCATGATATGATACCTTTAAAGAAAAAGCTCTGACGTTGGGAAAGAAAAGAAAAAAAATATCACTGCAAGAAAATAAGTGCTGTTAGGGTAGAAGAAACCTTTTATACAGATGAAGATGCAAGAGAGTGAGAKAGTTTAGTTTTTGGGTGAGAATACTGAAGAAGTTCTCAATCCAGAAATGGTAGATTTTAGTGATTCACATAAGTTTTTACAGATATGGTGCCTAGATCTTTTATGATGCTGACTAATTATTTTCTAAAAAGGACATACATGCATTAAAGAAATAAAAAATATATATATCTAATTAAAGAGAGGGGATTGGGRGGTTATGCAAAATTAACTTTTGTTAGCTTCATATGCTACTGTATGTCATTCCCTCATCAAAAACATWCCCAGAGTGTTGCTTTGACTCATTCATGTAAACTTGAGAATTCCTTGTGTAACAAAGTTTTCAAAATGAGTTGCTCAAACAATATGCAGAGAACCAAATAAGTTCTCACTTAAATTAAATCTCAGTTAAATTAAAGACTTCCTAATACCCAGAGCCTGTGTGTAGCCCTGGAAGTCTACAACAAAATGGCTTCAAGCTATGTGTCCTTACCAAACCGTAATATTTATAGAAAACTTGACCACACACCTATAGGGTGGGTCCTCCTACGTCGGCATTGAGATACCGTAAATGTTAAATATYATATGTTTACACTAGTGGATCGAGGCACATATTAAAACTGTTTAAAGTAAACGACTAAAATTGATCACAAAGATWGGCTGTATATAAAATTCAGTTACCAGTCACAAAATGTCCATTTAAATCTTCTGTGTTAGCCATATGGAGCTGCCTAAATGCTTGCTGGTACAAAGCACCGCCCATTTGTACGTAGCACCTCCCAGGAGCTCAGTCTACAGCCAAGCTCCCGCTCCACAGAGTGCCCCTCCCCTGAATCACTGCTGTGAAGACGTGTTGAAGTGGGAGTGCCACAAACACTAAGAGGTTCTTTTAGAGAGAGATGCCAATTTCAAGTTGTTTAGATAGTATATGATGCAAAGTCAAATGGATTTTACATCATTTTCATTACAACTGAAGGTAGCAGAATAATTTTATTGTGGTACAGAATTTAACTATGTGCCTGGAAAATACGTAATAACCCAACTTTAAAATAGGGGTGTAAGAAAATACTGATACACTGAAATATCACGATATTTCATTTCCCGATACTGTATTGATATTATAAAACCCTGTATCGATTTTTTTATTAAGGTTTAAAATGTCAACTTTCCTGCCAGCTGTTCATTTTTATATTGTAGTTCAGCCTCTGACCACTAGTTGGCAGCAGTGAACCAGCCATTTGGCTGTTCTACCTCTTGAGAGCCAGAGAGTAAGGGTACCATTAGCATTGTGAGTAAACATTAGCTTCATGCACCGATAGCTGAATCTGAGCAGAAAAGACCGACACCCTGAGGTATGGTTACGAACAGGTACTTATTTGTCAGAATGTCTGTATTTTAAGCCAAATAAAGGGTCTTGTGCACTCTTTTTTCCAAAGTTACGGAAGGCAGGCAGGCATGCATGCATATATAGCGCATGCGTTTAGCGTCTCGAGCTTGGCACTCCCCCTATGAGATAAAACTGTGTTGTTTAGCTTCTCAGTTTATTTACTGTTTATTTTCGGGACCTGCTCTGCTGTTCGACCTGCAGTTATGCAAATCACGTTCTGGATGCAGGTCAGCTGATCCCAGAAACTCTGTGTGCAGCAGCTTCATTTCATCTGTTTACTGAACTTTATGATAACATAAAGGCTATTGTTAAGTGTTGGGTGACCATATTGTAAATTAATATTAAAAACTAAAAGCTGCAAAAAA